TCAAAATTCTAAAAATTCAAAAAACATTCTAGATAGTTCTAAAAATTCTAAAAAATGCTAGGAGTATACGCCATAATTCTACAATCATTTTTCCCTCGCTTGAAAGGTCGACTGTAAGACGCTTTAAAGGTGTGAAAGTCAAATCTTGCAGACCCTTTCAGGATAGCCTTTTGGTATTCTCCAAGTAAGACCCTTTAAGGGTGTGAAAGTCAAATCTTGCGGACCCTTTCAGGATAGCCTTTGGTATTCTCCAAGTTTTTTTAAATCTGCTCGTTTAAGAGCTTTTATAGGTTTTTAAATTGTCGTATTAGCCCTTAAGAGTCTTTGAAGTTATCAAATATTTCCTGTCCATGACTCTTCAATGGTCTCTACTGCCTTTAGAACCTCGGACTGGCGCTTTAAGGGATTTTAAGTGTCATTAAGGGTTTTTACAAAGTTTAAAAACTTTCAAGAGCTTTTAAAAGCCGCCGTCAGTTTCTAAGAGCTTCTTGTTTAGAATCTTTAAAAACCTTTAATCTTCTAAAATATTCGAATGTCTCTTAAGAGGTTCCAAGAGCATTGTAGAAGCTCGGAAATCCTGGGTTTTAAAGCCTTTAAAACCCTGTTTGAAGTGTGCTTACAAACGTGCCTTGACGAGAGTCTCTGAAAAACCCTAAAGACATCTATCTAAAGGCATCTTTAAGGGCTTTAACAACTTGCAAAAGTGTAAATGAGAGCCATTCAGAATCCTTGATATGATGGATTTTGTATTACATTTTAATCAAATGCGTCAAATAATGTAACGTAAATTTAATTACGTGACTTGTTTATTTATTAATTATTAATGATTTTGGAACGGTCCTGTTTTACTGATTTATTACAGTTAATTATTATTTATCAGACTTGTGCACAAGTTATAACATGTAAATTTATCACATACAATCGCCAAGTTCACTAATAACCACTTCGGCTTAGATGTTGGAACAAACAAACGCGGTTATCGCCGGTCAGCAATCTCGATAGACTTGATGGCGCCCCGATGTCTGAAATACTCGCTCCACTAATTAAATGTATAATCTTCTGAAATGAAATCTATAAAAAATATTCAAATCCATGGCGGTCATTTTATTTCGGTAGGTCATCGCGCGTTTAAAATAAAAAAAACCGTCAGATCTTTACGCCAATCTCGAAAAAAACCCGAACTCGTAAATAACAAACTTATTTATTAGTTCTCCTTACGTAACAGCCGAAATAACAATAAACGTCGAATCTCCCGGCGTTTCTCACCGAAACCGTATATTTATAACGAATTTCTTATTATAATAATTTTGTACTTCCTATTTAATTAATTTTGCATGATAAATGATAATCTTAAGTAACTTTTTTTGGGCAAGGTCGAATGTGTAATTAATAAATACGTTTATTAACAATTTATTTTTACAGCGCGCTTATTTCTATGTTTTTTTTAATTGGTATTTGGCGGAATTTTTGCGTAATTCGGTTACGGTTGGCCTCGTATAAAATGCAACTGCACTTCGGCGATAATTAGTGGGAAAAGTAGCGCGCAACAACAACAACAATAATTTTATCCGATGTAATTAAAATAAAAGGTGTTCTAATGGTTCGACCTCGCTATTGAATTTTTTGAAGGACAATCACTACAAGTTTCTAACAAAGAAGGAGGATTTAACAAGAGAGAAAAACGCGCGCGCGTCTCGTTCGAAAAGTGCAATTTCGCGCCCTTTTTCTAACGCTCCGCAATCGCTCACTCTGCACCAAACAGGAAGCGCTTAATCATTCGTGACGCCGCCGCCGTCGAAAAAATGTGGCGTGCAGTATCTTTGAAAAAGAGAATAATTATTCGATATGTGGAAATTTCGTGTATCTAATTATGTGGGTATATACAGAGTACATAAGTATGTAGTAAATGATAGACAGCTTCGAATTGCTAAATTTCGCCTGGGGTGCTATATTTACGTTCGGCTCACGTTGCGAACGAAGCGGTCTCGTTGTATTTTTACACTCCCGGAAGTTTCCACTCGCCGGTATTTGGGTTTTCGTTTTTAATTTGAAAATGAAATGGAGCGTGTCGTTCCCGTTTTTTCTTCTCTAACGATTTTAATTAAGTCGAATTAGTCGAACGCTGCCATTTCGGCGGACACGCCCATCGAAAAATTCGGTCGCATTCGCGTCGCTCCAACCAGTTCGAGTCATTTACAGCCGATGATTATTACTCCAATTACGCTTTATTGCGTCACCTGATATTAATAAATGTGTAAAGTACGCACGAGTCGCGACTTCTCCCTGCGTGGTGTTTTTGCCACGGGTACCCACGCTCGGTAATTTAATATGCACGTCTTTCCCGGCCCAAAACTGGACGTCATTTTCAAAAGCACGAGGAAACCGGTTTGAAGACAACCTTGGGACACTCCGGATAAGTCGGTTTTCTTGGGTCGTTGTCTATTTCCCAAGGCTGTTTCCTCTCGATTCAGTGTGTTGGATGTTCACTGGTGTGGTTAACAATCTGGAACTCTCCAGAGGTTACGGGCAGATTTAAGAAAACGTCCAGGTTTTTCCTAAACAAATTCCGGCAAATTGATTTTCTTTATTTGTGCTTCAATTGAAGAAAGGAAGAATTGGTGTGGAAAGACGGTATGGGCCAACAATTTTGACACTCAAAAAAGGCGCGGTTTCAAAAATCAGGAAATATTGCCCCATTTCGAGATCTAAAAAAGTAGTAAGGAAAATCAAATACGAGCCGAAGAACGGGGTTAAAATCGTACAGTTGGAAGACGCTCAATGCTCAATTTTCCGTCGTCTGTGGTCTGTCCTATCTGTTCCTTCGAGATCTCGGTCCCTGGGTTTTGAAACATTTTTTAAATATATTCCGGTGATGTGGCAGCATATAACCTTTTAGCCTGCCTTTTAGGCGCTGCGATGTTTCAAGTCAAAAAAGAGCGATTTACTGTCGGAGAATCGTTAGACACGCTAATTTTTAAATCTAAAAAACCTCTTGCGACCAAATGTGAACATGTTAACAATAAAGAAGATCACTTAACGATAGGCTAACTGCTTTAGAAAGTTCTAAAACGTGAAAATAAAAATATACTCTACTCTACTCTACGTTCAACAAACTTCGGAATGAATTCTAAAAAATTTAAAAAATTTTAAAAAATCTATACAATTCTTTTTTTAGAAGTTTTCTAGAATTCTTCACGAATTTTGTTGATTGTTTTAGAATTTTCTAGAATTGAAGAATCTTTTAGGATTTTCTTGAATGTTCTAGTACTTTTTTTAGAATTCTATAAAGTTTTTTAAAAATTCAAAAAAATTCTAAACAAATGCTAGAAAATTCTAAAACAATCAACATTCCGGAATAATTCTAAAAACTTTTAGAAAGTCTAAGAAAATTTTAAAAAAGTTCTAAGAAAATCCAATAAAAATTTTTTTGAGAACTTTTCTAAAATGTTTAGAATTTTTCACAAATGTTGATTGTTTTAGAATTTTCTAGCATTGTTGTTGAATTTTTTTGGATTTTTTGGAACTTTTCTTGATAGAATTCTAGGAACTTCTTAAATAAATCTAGGAAATTCTACAAAATACTAGTAGAGTACACCAAAATCCTTAAAAAATTCTATGAAATTCTAAGAATTCTATAACATTCTAAGAATTCTAAAAAAATTCTAACGAATTCTAAACAGTTCTACAAAATGGTAGTAATGTATACGAAAATTCTACATCTACGATACTCTGCACTTATGCTTCAATTAAAAAAAACGAATGTGAGTACGATTTGGTTTTAATTTTGTGCTCCAATTTCAATAGGGGAAAAACATTTGCTAGACATACCCAAACTTTGGCTAGGTAAATAAAAAATATCATTAGCGTTCCTCGTCTAACTTGAGAACAAAAAAAAAGCAATGCTTTTGATTCAAATTTGCTGCAGAAATTTTATTTTCGAGTCACATTTCAGCCAATAAGTGAAAGCATGTTCTCTGTCTTTTATCAGTCTAAACAAGGAGCGATATCGTAGCCAATTGCTTTGAGTCGAACACTTTTTTGATGCTTTTGGTTCAAATTTGATGCATTTACTTTATTTTCGAGTCAAATTTCAGCCAATAAGTGAAAGCATTTTCTCTATCTTTTATCAGTCTAAACAAGGAGCGATATCTAGCCAATTGCTTTGAGTCGAACACTTTTTTGATGCTTTTGGTTCAAATTTGATGCATTTCCTTTATTTTCGAGTCATATTTTAGCCAATAAGTGAAAACATCTTCTCTGTCTTTTATCAGTCTAAACAAGGAGCGATATCGTAGCCAATTGCTTTGAGTCGAACACTTTTTTGATGCTTTTGGTTCAAATTTGATGCATTTCCTTTATTTTCGAGTCATATTTTAGCCAATAAGTGAAAGCATCTTCTCTGTCTTTTATCAGTCTAAACAAGGAGCGATATCGTAGCCAATTGTTTTGAGTCGAACACTTTTTTGATGCCTTTAGTTCAAATTTAATGCAGAAGTTTTATTTTCGAGTCAAATTTCAGCCAATACGTGAAAGCATCTTCTCTGCCTCCTATCAGTCTAAATAAAAAGCTATATCTTAGTCAATTGCTGTCAGGATTTTAAGTAAAATACGTTTTCGAATCAGACACCATTTTTATGTGATTTCAATAAATCTTTTGATGTTTTTGATGAAAGCAGTCTTCGATTTTGATGCAAGTTCTGATGCAAGGCAATTTTTGATGCAAAATGTTCTCTTTCTGTGGGTTTGTATGAAATTCGTTATTGAAGGAAATGGATTCGGCTCTCAGAAGCTTTTTGTTTTTGATGAAAACTTGACTCAACATAACTTATCACCTCGCTTACATTAAATCCATAAGATGTTTGATGCAAATTTGATGATTTCGATGCAAATTCTGATTCAATGCAGCTTTTGATGCAAAATGTGCTCATTCTATGAGATAAGATGTTTGATGCATGTTTTTGATGCAAATTTTTGACGCAAGATCTTTCCTTCGGTTGCAGGTGTTCGGTTCAAAAGCTGAGTTGCAGCTGCACACGCAGGCGCATATGCGAGAATCCAAACCGTACAAGTGTTCCCAGTGCTGTAAAGCTTTCGCCAACAGTTCCTATTTATCTCAACACACTAGGATCCATTTAGGTATAAAACCGTACCGTTGCGAGATCTGCCAAAGGAAGTTTACGCAACTGTCACACCTACAACAACACATACGAACCCATACGGGTGACAAGCCGTACAAGTAAGTGCCAAAATGTCTTACGAAGCGAATGCGAAACCTCCCCGTTTTGCTTTTCAGATGTCGACATCCGGGTTGCCAAAAAGCGTTCTCACAGTTAAGTAATCTGCAATCACATTCACGCTGCCATCAAACCGATAAGCCATACAAGTGCAACTCGTGCTATAAATGCTTTAGCGACGAGCCCTCGCTGCTCGAACACATTCCAAAACACAAGGAGAGCAAGCACCTGAAGACGCACATATGTCAGTATTGTGGGAAGAGTTACACTCAGGAGACGTACCTTCAGAAACACATGCAGAAGCATGCGGAACGTACAGACAAACGGCCACCAATTGGTCACACTTTGGGTGAGTTTCATTTCGCCGAAACTGTCAAATGTTTTCTTGTTAAAATGGGCGAAAAGTGGGCGCGATATTTTCATTTTTTTTAAATAAAGACAAGATCTCCCCGCTTACAAACAAGTTGGACTCAAAATATACTACAAACTAAAAGATAGGCGCAACATGGGCGCATACTTTCAATTGTTTAAATATATGGTTTTGACACGCCCAATAAAATAATTTGTGTCATAAAACAATGTGTCTTCTTTAAAGAGTCAATTGGCATATTTTTGAATTGAAAGGCATATTTAACGTCTTACTACGAACAAAAAATGTATTCTCAAAAACTAATAAAAACTAAAAAAATGGGCGCGATAGCATATTTTCAATTCAGTCATTTTTTTTTAAAACTTGTGCCAGAATAAAGTGTGTGCCCTTCTTGAAAATGTCCATTGAAATATTTTTGAATTGAAAGGCATATTCTACGTTTTACTACGAACAAAAAATGTGTCTTCAAAAAAAGAATGAAAACCAAAAAATGGGCGCAGTAGTATATTATCAATTCAGTATTTTTTTAAGAGAAACTGGTGCCTGTAAAAAATGTGTGTCCTGCTTGAAAATATCAATTGAAATTTTTAGATTTGAAGGGTATATTTAACGTCTTACTATGAACAAAAATGGGTGCTCAAAATCGAATAAAAACTAAAAAATGGGCGTAACAGCATATTTCTAATTCGGTGGTTTTTAAGTGTAACTTGTAACAGTAAAAAGTGTGTGCCCTTCTTGAAAATGTCAATTGAAATATTTTTGAATTGAAAGGCATATTCAACGTCTTGCTACGAACAAAAAATGTGTGCGTGCTCAAAAACTAATAAAAACTAAAAAAATAGGGGCGATAGCATATTTTCAATTCAGTTATTTTTTTTAGGAACTTGCGCCAGAAGAAAGTGTGTGCCCTTCTTGAAAATGTTCATTGAAATATTTTTGAATTGAAAGGCATATTCTACTTCTTACTACGAACAAAAAATGTGTGCTCAAAAACTAGTAAAAACTAAAAAAATAGGCGTAGTAGCATATTTTTGATTCAGTAATTTTTTTAGAAACTTGTGAGAAGAGTGTGTGCCCTATTCAGAATTAAAAGGCATACTCAGCGTTTTACTACGAACAAAAAATGTGTCCTCAAAAAAGAATAAAAACTGGGCGCAGTAGTATATTATCAATTGAGTAATTTTTTAAGAGAAACTGTTGCCAGTAAAACGTTTGTGCCCTTCCTGAAAATGTCATTTGAAATATTTTAGATTTGAAAGGCATATTCAACGTCTTACTACGAACAAAAATGCTTGCTCAAAATCGAATAAAAACTAAAAAATGGTCGTAACAGCATATTTCTAATTCGGTAGTTTTTAAGTGTAACTTGTAACAGTAAAAAGTGTGTACCCTTCTTGAAAATCTCAACTAAAATATTTTTGAATTGGAAGGCATATTGAACGTCTTACTACGAACAAAAAATGTATGCTCAAAAACAAATAAAAACTAAAAAATAGGCGCAGCAGCATATTTTCAATTCAGTAATTTTTTAGGACAAACTTGTGACAGTAAAAAGTGTGTGCCCTTCTTGAAAATGTCAATTGAAATATTTTTGAATGAAAGGCATATTCAACGCCTTACTATGAACAGAAAAAGTGTGCTCAAAAATGAACAAAAACTAAAAAATGGGCGCAGAAGCATATTTTAAATTCAGTGATTTCTTAAGAAAGATTTGTGTCAGGAGAAAGCGTGTGCCCTTCTTGAAAACGTCAATTGAAATATTTTTGAATTGGAAGGCATATTCAATGTTTTACTACTAAAAACGAACAAAAAATGTGTGGTCAATAACTAATAAAACTAATAAAAACTAAAAAACAACAAACACAACAACAAATTGAGATACTCTTGAATAAGAAGCGTGTTCGTCATGCGCACAACAAATGTTGGCTCAACATTTAATACAAATTAAAAAATAGGCGCACCGTAGGAGCACATTTTAAACTTTTTATTTAAAAAAAGTCTTATTTACGTCGTAAGCAGCACATTTTTGTTTTGCAACATTCCGGGCAAGTGTATCAAATTACAGTTTGGAGATTAGGGCTTATAATTAAAAACAAAGTTAAAAAATGGGCGAAAAGTGGGCACATTGTGTCCATGTATTTGGTCCTGGGATTATTTTGAAGGATATTGAAGTCTTTCTTGAGGACAAAGGGTAACGCGACTGCACAATCCGGGCGCAACATTGTAAAACATTAAAAAAATGGGCGAAGAATGGGCGCATTAAAAAATTTTGAATACACGTTTAGCAGATCTGAATGTATAAACTTTTGTTCATAGGTTTAAACCATCGAGGTCTGGATCACCCGTACTGGCCCAAAGTAAGTCCGGACAGCGCCGAGAACATCCACGACTATCCGACGGACATTCCGCGCCAGATCCTGGAGCAGAACGAAGACCTAGTGATAATACGGCAGCAGCTCGGCCAGAATCCGCCGGCGCCGCCTAGCACGCCTAACCCGAACCTCTCCAACTCGTACGACACGACGATCACCAAGACGAACGCGAACTCGGCGTTCACGCCGATCAGCTCGATGTCCGGCCACCTCAATCACCTCAACCACCAGCTCGCGCCGAACCGGCCGTACCTCTACGACGCGATCAGCTTTCCGAAACAGAACAGCCTCGATCTACCAAAAACCCAGCCGACCAACGGCTTCCCGAACCAGCTGATCTCCCTGCACCAAATCCGAAACTACGCCCATCAGCCTAATACGAGTTTAATGGAACATTCTTTATTGGGAGGTCTTAAAGATAAGTAAATTAATGTTCACATTTTCATTGTTGTGTATAATTCAGTGTATTGTACTCACAGCGCGTGCGCATTTACTGTGCGATTCAAAATCTTGGTTTTCTTTGCGACACATTTTCCGAGTTTTTCGCACACACAGTAAATGTCACCCTGTGCGCGTGAACTTTTCGGACGGTTGACGAGGCGGAGACGAACGTTTAAAGACAATTTCGAGTAACCCAGGGGGGGGGAGAAGGAAAGAATTAGCAATTTCGTTTCGGTGGGCAAACTTAAAAGAGAAAAGCGCGGGCGCGCCCCTCTTCACTCAATCAAGAGCCCAGTTTCGATAGTACTTAAGCTTTCAGTTTTGTTCGTGCGCGTGCGCGCGCGCCGTTGCCAAATTTGCCCACCGAAAACTAGTAAACAAAGGCTCAATTTTTTTATTTGAATTTGTATTTATTTTGTAATATTCTTTTTTGAAGGTTGGTCTGTATAAAAGTTTATTGTAAATGTAAAGAAATCTCAGTATGTGATTTAAAATATTGTTTAGTGGTAGCTCAATTTTTATTTATTTTTTTATAACGGTAGGACTTATACCGGGTTGCCCTGGCACGTCTCGTTCCGGCTGAACTGTGTGCAATAGTCCGTAAATCGGATCGGGCGTGGATTGGAGGCGTATGCGAGGGCCACCCTGTATAACTAGAAAGTTTCCCCAGTGTCTTTCAAAGTAGGAATTTTATTATTTTCTGTTTTTGAGTTGGTACAAATTATTGAAATTTTCAGACTATTTATAAGAGGAAGTATGAGACTTGCGCTCTCATTACGTTACAGTTACGTTGCATATCTACGTTTAAGTATACGTTTGTGTACGTCCTGATGTTGACATCAACCAATCGCAATGTTGTATTTGTTGTTACGTTATGTTAACGTTCACAACTTTATTATAAGTTTTGTACTAGCTTTAATTTTTTTGTATTGATGTTAAGTTTACTGAGACCTTAGCAATTATTATGTAAGTGGTTCAGACGGCCACCCTTTATACAAAGAAGCATTAATGTTAAGTTTTTGAAAAAAAATGCTTGTGATCAAATCTTAAAGAAAGAGTAATAATTATGTTGTACGTATTTATAAGAAGATATCGGTTTTTTTTGTTGCATATTTACTTAAAAAATAAAAAAGAATATTGATTTTGTTCTCCGTTTTGTTTTCACGAGATTTACCCGTAATGTTCGCGAACATTACCGGCAAACCTCCTTCAGACCACACTAAGCGCGGATGGTTTTGTTTTTGGAGACGGACTTACAGACGGACTTTCAGAAACCATTTTTCAAATTTTCCTTTTGTCGCCCGTTAAACATTAAACTGTGATAATTTCGTACTGAAAGTTTTAACTTTAAGGCAGAGATAGTCAATTTGTAAATACTTTAGCAAATGTGAAGTCGTATATTATAAATTTGTACCATAAGAGGGGGTTGTTCGAGATATACTTAATAGGTAGGGTGAGAACCTTAAAAAAGATTCGTAGTTTTAAAAAAATTGTACGAAGTTGATGTTGTCGAGGAAACAACATGTTTTTGAATTTATATACACAACGAAGTAACGTTTTTCTTTTCCTTTTATATCGTATGTTATACCCGTTTAGAAATTATTTCTCTTGTGTAACGGAGGTTTCAGCACACTACTTAAAAAGTACTTCACTGGATTTTAAAATTATATCGGTGTCTCAAAACTTTAAAAGTTAATGTTAAGATTAGTATGTTCATTGTAAGTAAAATAAATTATTAAAAAATTTTCTTTTATCATTCACTACGACCCCTAGCAAACGAATTTTTGCAAAAAAAAAGAACAATAGATCACATCTGTCTGTATATCATTACGTCCCTAACAACGATAACGCGGTCGCCGTTAACTTGGAAGCACTGTAAGAGCAGCCCCTACTGTACTCTTCAATTTCTTGCACTTTTCCTCCCACTTCCGTTGATTTGCAGCATTTGCCTTTGGAACATTGTGTGTTCAGCTTTTTCAAAATCCAAGTACTTCTTCGTCCTCCTCATTGTTATCTCCTGCAGTCTTCTCGGTCGCCTCGTCACCTTAGCATTAGGCGATTACTCCCTTACCTTCGAAACCCCCTCTTACATACTAGTTTCTATAAATTTAATTATTTGTACAATCGTTATCATTAGTAGCATTAAGAAATAGCCTATAGAAACAAAGGTTTATTGTGGGTCGCTAACCAACGAAAACATACCACCGTTCCTATTGGCTGAAAGAGCTGTAAAGCTTTTGAGGACTTTTAAGAACTCACGAAAGATCTACACGACTTTTGAGAAAGAGAAAAGGCACAAAGAGAGAGAGACCCTCATAAAACTCCATAAAAGTACAGTCCTTAGAAACTCTTTTAATGGCTTTTAAACACCAAGAGGCTCGAAAAAGAAAATTCTGGACCTTCTTAGAGACACTTGGAAACAAACAAGTTTTAATTACATAGGCGCGTATTTAAAGATCAACATAAGATTTTAAAGGCTGTAAAGTACTTCGAGGCTCTTGAAGTGAACTTTTAATGGCTGTGGTCACATAACCCCTACGCTTAGGCAACACATCTCGCAACTGAAAGAATTAATGGCAGTATGGGAACAAAAATATGAAACATACAACAACCATAAAGAGATGAGGGGGTCGGGGAGGGCAATTCACCTACATGGGAGGAAGAGGGAGGTGGGTATAATTGATTACACAATTTAGTAAATGAATATAGAGGGAGACTAGAGGAACAAGAAGAAGCAAGTATAAATTGTGCACAACTCTTCTGCAGATAAAGCGCATTTTATTTAACAGAAATAGCTTTTGTTTTAACATCACCAATTGATATATTTCTTGCGATCACGATAAGGGGTCGAGAAGGAGGGCTCTATGGTTAGTAGAAATTTAATTCCTTTCGTTGAGAGTACCATGAAGGATAAAACTAGTTCCACTCCCCCTCCCTCTCCACCCCGTACTTTGTATATGAGGACAGAAAGAAGGGCAGTAGTTGGTAAAAAACGGTTCCTTTCGTTCAGATCTTTCATTAGAATACAATGAGAGGTAGAATTAATTACCCCCCCCCCCGTTCCCGTCGCTTACTAATCTCAAAAAAGAGTCGCACGGGAAAGTTATAGTTTGTACAAACCAATTTATTTCGATGAGACCTTTCATTAGAATACCATGAAGGGTAGAACATGTGTTTAAACCCCCCCATTTTCTAAGGTTCGAAACTGCAGAAGTGGGTGCGGACGGACGGACGGACAAAACGCAAACAATAGCAAATTTTTTTAATTCTTAAAAAATTCGCTAAAAATATAAGAGAATACACAGAGCAGGAATGGGATAATATAAAGGATAGAGTTAACAAAGCAATAACGTAGAAGCAAATAACTGAAGAAGAAAAGAGTGGTGGGATCATGTGAATACAGAAAAGATAGATAGATATAGAGAAATGATGGAGAACTGACAAAAGAAAACGCAAAGAAAAATAGATGGAGATACAGAAAGAATACGAAGATCAATTCAAGGAAATTAAAACAGAAAATCCGGAAGGTGTAAACAGAGAAAAATAGAACAAGTGAGAGAGAAATACAATTCTAGGAATGGAAACAACATTAAGAAAATAGGAGAAAGAGAAGGCTATGGAAGAGATAACAAGAGAGAAGGTTGAGGGAATGAGATAAAAAAAAGGGCGAAAGAGTTCGTGTTTTTCATGGATTTAGAGGCAACGCGTGACAGAGTGGAAATAAAGAAATGTTTTGAAGATGGGAAAATTGAGAAGAGGTTAAAGAACAGAATCAAGGAGGGGAAGAAGAAGGCTACGGTCCCTGGCATACGCGGGTGGTGGCGATTAGAGCGGTGTGGGGAATGAGAGGGAGGGCGCTAAAATTCTAGGAATGAAGCGATAGAGAGAGCGAATTGGTGGAAGTATGCTTGACAACAAGGATGAAGGCAAAAGGAATGTGGGAAGAGCAAAGAGGAAAATATTAGCTGAGGTCAAAAGGAGGATGGGAGTAGGACAAAAGATAGAAAATGGGCTGGAAAAAAGGATCTGGATGCACAATACAACAACAGCACGTCCGCTCTCCTACTAAGCCCAATGTTGTAGAGGTGATGGTTGACCCTAAGGGCACCGTAGGCTACTATTCAGTTTAAGAAGCTTAGGAGACCCATATTTGCTAATGGGCTTTGATAAAAAGGCCCTGAACTGTTTGAGTCCGGTTATATGTTGGCACTAGGTCTGAAATTGACTGTTCACCCAGTCTTTAATCTTGGTCCTGATAACGGAGGGAGGAATTGTAGGGTAGACTCGGGCCCATACGACCTACGACCTTGTCCGTCACTTTCCTCCTCCCCTAGCGATGCCGATCGTTCTGACCCCAATAACCGCCACACGAGTTAAAGTGCAGTAATCCCGACGCCTCTTCGAGGTCGATAACGCGGGATTGAGCCCTTTCCGTCGCAACGCTGCTTCGGTGGAGCCCTCTCTCTTACCTGGCGATTTCGTCGCAAGAGTGACGCGCGAGACCCCCGCGTGTGCCTAAAAGTTCTGCATGATCGACATCATTTACGAGGAGGGCCCTACCAGGCTCCTCCCTGCGGAAGAACGTCCTTCATTTGCTCGTCCTGAAACCAGGATTTTGCCTCTGGAGGCACTTCAAGATGGTGGCCGTGTTATCCGGGAGCCCGTATAACATAGCCATCACCAAGGTTACCCTAGGGACGGGCCTCTGAACTTTCAGAGATGCGCCATCCCGGGACCTATGAAAAGAGACAGTCCTCTCCAACCAGTCCAAGGTCCAATGGTCCTTGTTGCAACAATTTCAATGGCGGTTTTCTCAAATTAAGGGTTTAAAGTTGAATTTCTTTGCGGTTCTCTGGTTTTGGGGGGTCGAATATTGTACTTTATAGAGAGTGGTTTCATTATAGGGCAGGTTTCCCCAAAATTTTGTTGATCTATTGTTTTTTTAAGTTAAAAGTTTCTCAAGAAATTTGCTAGCTCTATCGTTTTTAAGGCTGTGGTTACGGGATACGGCACTGGCTAATTAATTGGGAAAGCTGGTTATTTTTTATCGACGATTAATCTATAACTTCCTATTTCGTTCGATTTTCGTTCGAAAATTTCCCCCGTCCTCCCAACCACCTTTCGTTGCAGTTGCCTTACTGTCCAGGTCAACAGATTTCTATACTGGCTTTATACGACTTCAGCTTTCCTTATGTCAAGGTGCGTATTTGTTGATAATGTATTAAAATGCTGCTAAGTTCAGAGTTCATCAACCTAGAAGGCTCTGAAGTAGCAGAAAACCGAGGGCTTAAAGTAAATGCCTGAAGGATCGAAATTTATTGTCACACCTTATCAACATTCAACCAAATGTCCCCAATCGCCGATAAAACAAAGTTGCTGGGATCCATTGCGAAAGGTACCCGCGTCATTTCGTTAACCGAAAATCGAAACTTGTCCAACAACAGCGCTAGACCAATCCCGGTCTGCATGAGCCCGAAGCGTAACCCTAAAAACATGACGTTTAGTTCTGATTCTCGCCGCGAGTAGCGTGTTACCGATGCAAAGTCGGGGACCTTCGCCGAATGGCATGTAACTGTAGGGTACCATCTTCTTCTTATTCTCCTCATTAAACCTTTCCGGATCGAAACGCTCCGGGTCCGGGAAATACTCGGGGTCGTGGTGAAGACCGTAGAGGGGTATGACTACGCTTGTGCCCTTTTCAATGAGAAAATCGGTTCCGGGGACTTTGTAGTCCATTACGCATTTTCGGTTCAGCATCGGTAGAGGGGGATACTTGCGTAAGGTCTCTGAAAGTTTACAGTTAATAGGCAACATGCCAGTTGAGGGACTCACCATCGATCACTTGCTTCATATACTTCATCTCCCTAATCGCCTCGTAGCTAATTTCGCCCTTGTGCGACGCCATAACTGAACGAATTTCTTCCCGCACCTTGTCTTGAATGTCTTGGTCGTTGGCCAACTCGTACAGGCAGAAGGTCATAGTCGTGGAGGAGGTTTCTAGTCCTGCGATGAAGAAAAGGAAAGCCTGCGCGGTTAACTCTTCCAGCGTCAGGGGGTCGTCACTGTTGTTCTTCAGGTCTAAGAGAATTTGCAAGAAGTCGTCACGATTTGTCTTGTTACTTTCTCTGTATTCTACTACTTGTT